CTTAGATATTCCCTTTAATTATTCACACAGGTCACTATAGCTCACTGAACACTTGTGGCAAATAGAACAGGAGAGCAATACATTTAAGAAGTACACTGGATTATTATAAATGGAATTTAATTTAAATAAAATAAAAATCCTCTTACTTAATCCAGTTCATCAGCTCCACTGTGTCTGGATCATAGAATTCTCTCAACTCTGACAGCTCATCCATCATTCCTGGATAGAACTAGAATTACAAACAAAACAACCTGAGGACAAAATGAACAAATCAAGTTCTACATACTGGAACAGACCTCAGTTACTAGATAAGAGGAAATGACTGGCTTGAGGTATTGATCTTGTCTACCTTATAGTTGAGCTAAAGAGCTTTAGTATATCTGCCCCTCTGATGGCCCTCATATCATTGGCAAGCTGGGGACTGTTGCAGTTCCCAGCTTATGCTCGATGATCAAATAAGAGCAGAACGAATGAGACCATTCCATGGCTTTGTCTCCTAGAGATTATGCAACACCTTAAATATATTTAGAAATGGAAGCTAATGGTAAATATTGAGTGTGCTTCTGAAGCAGATATTGTGTGAGACTCAGTGCTTGTACAGGGTGCCTGCTGGTCTAAGTTATTTGTTACAACTTTCAAAGACCTAAATCAATTGTGCTGACTGCTTCTCTCACAGTCTGATACTTCTATAGTTGAAATCAGAGGTGATACACTGGATAGCACTCAATTTAAAGGAGGGGCTTGCTGTCAAGCTGCGTCCTTTGAGAGTCCCTCAAATTTAAAACTTATTTTTATGAAGATATTGAACAGAACCAGACCCAGAATGGATCCCTGCAGAACTCATGCCCTTTCAGCATGACTATGAACTATTGATAACTGCTCTTTGGGAAATTTTTCAACCAGTTATGCACCCACCTTATAATAGCTCCATCTAGGTTGTATCTCCCTAGCTTGTTTATGAGAAGATCATGCAAGACAGTATCAAAATACTCCACCTACTGCTTCTTTCCTATCCAAGAGGTTTGTTACCCTGTCAGAAAAACCTATATGGTTGGTTTGAAAAGATTTGTTCTTGAAAAATCCATGCTGTTATTTATTACCTCATTATCTTCTAGATATTTGCAAATGGATAGCTTAATTATTTACTCCATTATCTTTCTGGTTACAGAAGTTAAGCTGGCTGGTCTGTAATTAACTGGGCTATCCTTATTCCCCTTTTTATAAATGGGCTCTATATTTGCCCTTTTCTAGTCTTCTGGGATCTCTCCTGTTTTCCACGACTTTTCAGAAATAATGGCTAATGGCTCGGATATAAGCTCTGTCAGCTCCTTTAGTATTCTAAGATGCATTTCATCAGGCCCTGGTTACTTGGCGACATCTAATATGTCTAAATAATTTTTAACTTGTTCTTCTATTTTAGCCTCTTATCCTACCCCATTTTCACTTTCATTCATAATATTAGATATCTAATCACCATTGATTCTCTGCCTCATTGAGTAACAGGCCTACGCTGTCCTAGGTCTTCCTCTTGCTTCTAATGCATTTATAGAATGTTTTCTTGTTACCCTTTATATCTCTAGCTAGTTTGATCTAATTTTGTGCCTTAATCTTTCTCATTTTGTCCCTGCATATCTGTGTTATATGTTTATATTCATTCTTTTTTAATCTGACCTAATTTGCACTTTTTGTAGGACTCTTTTATGATTTTTAGATCATTCAATATCTTCTGGTTCAGCCAAGATGGTCTCTTGGGCTGTGTCTACACTACATGCCTCTGTCGGCCACCTTCATGGAGCTGTGCCGTCCATCAATGGGACACCCAGATGCAACCTGCCATCTCCCTGGAAAAGTGGGTCGCCATCACCATCTGGAAGTTCGTCGCCCCAGACAGTTACTGGTCTATGGGCAACCAGTTCTGTGTGGGAAAATCCACCGTCAGGGTCCTCCTCATGGAGGTAAGGCACTCTTGGGCTGCAGTCCCTGGGGGTGGGGGTCGGAAGGGGAGTACTGGAAAGGGGGACCCTATAGAAAAGGGGGGTTGGGGGTGGGGCTCAGGTTGAAAGCCCCATTTCTAGGAGATTCTGCAGTTTCGCCCTCACACAGCCCTGCAGGGGGGCAGCCTCATAGGGAGTGGCTCCTGAGGTGTTTGAGGTGGGGAGGGGACCTCCCAAGGGCTCAGGACCCCCTCTGATTCTTTGTTTCTTTGTCTCCTTCTGCAGGTGATGAGGGCCATCAACTCCATCTTGCTAATCAGGGTTATCCACCTGGGAGACCTGGACCTTATCATGGCTGGATTTGCCACCCTGGGGTTCTGCAACTATGGGGGAGCCATAGATGAAACCCATATACCCATCCACAGGGGCTGACAAACAGTGGCGAAATCCACTTGCCAGCCCCGCACTGTGCATGAGTCAAACCCACATTGCGCATGCACGCGCTGCCAGTGAACGGGGCGACCGGCTGAAATCTACTCGCCATGGGTGAGTAGATACACTGATTTGTTGAGCCCTGCCCATCTGAACATCAGCACATTGAGCTGCCCAGTACATTAACCACAGGGGCTCTTTTCTGATGGTGCTGCAGGCTCTGGTCGACTACAGTTTACAGACATTTTTATCGGGTGGTCAGGCTGGGTCAGACATTTCAGCTGGAGGCAGGCACATTCTTCACCCAGCGCAACATCATGATCGGGGATGTTCAGATACCACTTTATATTGTATAGGATGAGGTCTACCCCATCATGCCGTAGCTCACGAAGCCCTACACTGGCCATCTGGACTGGGCAGGACCTGCATGCAGGTGGAATGCGCCTTCAGTTCAGGTTCCTCCTGACCCGCCTGGATGTCGGGGAGCACAACATCCCTGAGGTGATCTTGGCCTGTTGTGTTCTTCACAACATTGTGGAGAGCAAGGGGGAGGCCTTCCTTCTGGGATGGGGGGGGCAGAGGCCAGCCAGGAGGGAAGGGACTTTGAGCAGCCGCACACAACTGCCATCTGCCAGGCCCATCAAGTGGCGGTGCGCATCCGGGAGGCCCTGAGGGAGAGTTTCTCTCAAGGACCCCAGTAAGCCTCTCCAAGGCCTCCTCACTAAGGGCCTGTGCCTTGCCCACCTATGCCTTTCCCACAACCCGTCTCTTCCCCGCTTCCCTGTACAGTCAATAAATACAACAGTTTATTCAACCAAAATCTTTGTGGGTTTTTTTTGTCATAAGAAAAGAAACTGGGGAGGAAGGGGGAGCTCAGAACCGGGACAGGGGGAAGACAGAGGGGGGCTCAGAGCTTGGGCTGGGATCCCAGATGTGGGCCAGGGTTTGCTGCCTGTCCTGGAGGATGGCCATGTGCTCCCTCATAAGGTTCTCCTGGACCAGGCATGTCCAAAGTCCGGCCCGCGGGCCAATTGCGGCCCGTGTTCCGGTTCGGGTAATTTGGCAATATCTATCTTTTATGGCCCCCAATGAATCCATATGTATTGAGATGAATACATTGTAAAATCTCAGTTAAAGTCAGTTGGTCTAAATCAGTTATAAATATATTTGGACACAACATGTATACTTGGTGTTATGTTCCTGTTCATATTTTTTGAACTTAAAAGTTGACAGACAACCTTTATTACCAATAATATGTAATGTACTTTACAATGTTCCTGACATATATTTCAGCTTCCTGGATTTTTTTTTTCATCTGGCCTTCAGATATGAAAGGCAGAGTGATTTAACACCTGTTTAGATTTGTCATCCATGTGACGAAATGAAAAGTATGCCGTTTGCATAAAATAGTTAATTTGCATTTAATTTTAATGGTTCAAAGAATGTCAGGCAAAATGGTCGGCCCTCACGCATGTTCACTTCATCAAATCTGGCCCTCTTTGAAAAAAGTTTGGACACCCATGTCCTGGACCCTCCAGTGCCTGCGGCTCCCCCAGGGTCATCTGCGGCTGGCTCGTCTGCTGGTGATCGCCCCATAGTCATGGCTGGTCCGGCTGTGGAGAATAGAGGGAGAGGTGGTCAATAATCCATGGAAACACTGTCCCTGAGCTCTTGCCCTCCTCTGTGAACTGTGAGCTACAGTCCAAGGGCCAGATTTGTCCCAGTTTGAAAGTCCCACCTACATTCCTACTGGTCACTCCACTTGGTTAGGTGTAGTTAACTCCTTCCTCCCCAGGCTGTGGAGAATAGAGGGAGAGGTGGTCAATAATCCATGGAAACACTGTCCCTGAGCTCTTGCCCTCCTCTGTGAACTGTGAGCTACAGTCCAAGGGCCAGATTATGGTTGTCATGATTATGAGGGTTAGCCAGCAGCCTGGGGATTAAGGGTTAACTACACCTAGCCAGGTGGAGTGACCAGTAGGAATGTAGGTGTTTGGGTTTTTTCCTTTTCTCCTTTTCTCTCTCTGGGAGAGTTCTCTGCAGCTACAGGGAGGGACAAGCATGACTCTCTCTCTCCAAGAAACAATGCTTCACTTTCTGTAAGTAGGGTAAGGTTTAGATAGTTTCATTAGGCTTTATTGTTTTAAGGGTTGGGTATGGGACCTGATATCTGGCACTGCTTAAGAGATGTTTGGCTTTTCTTTTAACTAAGTTCTAGCCCATCGTGTAATTCCTCCATAAGTATATTTTGTTACCTTTCCATCTGATCCTTATGCTTGCAACAGGAATATTGTTGTAATAATAAAAGTTTTCTCTTTTCTTTTTATTAACCTGGCATTGGCTACTTGTGTGTCCTGATTTTTATAGGGGTGAGATTTCCCAAATGATCTTTCCCCTAATCTCCTTATTAATATTTGGGTGGTGGCAGCAGAAGTTTTATACCAAAACCTGGTAGATAAGGCTTTGGGGTATACTCGCTAACCCCCACTTCTGCATTTATCATGACAGAGTGGGGAAGGAGCCATGACATTCCTTTGTCCCACTTTGAAAGTCTCACCTACATTCCTACTGGTCACGCCACCTGGTTAGGTGTAGTTAACTCCTTAATCCCCAGGCTGCTGGCTAACCCTCATAATCATGACAATGGTGAGGTCCCAGGAGCAAGGCCTCACAGGGGCTCAGAGGTGCCCAGGGGACCACATTTCTCGACCCCCTCCCGCCGTCCCATGGACAAGCTCGCAAGGGAAGTGTCTGGCCACTCTAGTATCTCATGGGTGGGAGAGGGTCCTGGAGCAGCTTGGGCTTCCATCAGGGCCACACACACACCTGTGCCTGGCAGCGCTGTCCTTGGTAGCAGGTGGTACCTTGAGAAGGCAGGCATACCCATGTGCCACACTCCTCAGTCTGTCTCAGGCATATGTGTGTCCTTGTACCCATCATGCTTCCAATGGTGGCTGGTGGTGGGAGGGCGTGTCCCCCTGCCGGGAGCCAGATGTGTGTGTGGCCTCCACAGAGCCTGTGAGAAAGAGCCTGGGGGGCTTGGGGCTGCCTCGTGGGGCTGTGTGGTGCATACTGGTGCCGCACTTGCATCCACATGCACAAACTGCAATGCAAGGGTCAAGACGAGAAGGCCAAGCGACGATCGTACCCCAGCCCCTCAGCGCCCGCCTCCGCCACCCTGTGTGTGTGAAAAACTAAGAGCACTCACCTGATAATTCCTCCCTGGCCTCAGAGGATGCCTGGGAGACATCCAGGCCCTGGAGTACCAGCTCCAGGGTTAGGGTGATGGTGCTGACAGTTTCTTCCTCCTTTTCCAGTTTGGCTTAACCCGGGCTCCATGCGGCACTGCCTCTTTGAAATGTCATGGCGGCGTGTCAAAGGGGCAGCACTGCACAGCTGATCCTGGGCTCAGCTGTGTGGTGCTGCCACCTTGAATAACCTCTCTGCCCTTCCCCTTTGCTGCCTATATCTGACAGAGGCAGCAAGGGGCAGGGGATCAACTACTCAACTGGACTATCCAATAAGCTTTTGCTTATCAGAAAGTCAACTAATCTTTAACATACTTACCCCAGACCATGACAGTGAATGCCTTTTGGTGTCCCTGGCAGGTCCTGGGAGCCCTGGGCATGCTCCCTCTGAGGGCCAGTGGGTCCGGGTAAGTGTGGCAGTCTGAGCTGTGCAGTGAGGTGCAGTTCCCAGGGCCAGCTTTCTGCCACAAGCCTTATCCTGGGAGCCTGTGGCTTTAAGAGCTGGCAGGAGACAAGAACTATAGAGTTGTGATGAGTTTGGACCAAGTGGCCAGCAGGGCCACTTTTTCAGAAAAGGCATTCTTCCTTGTAGAATGAGGTTTACCACTGTCGGAAAAACCCCTCCGTTCTTTCGACTTTTTGTCAAAAGAATGCAATAGCACCGTGGACGCAAGTATTGTTTTTCCGGAACAATGGCCGTTTTTCCAGAAAAATAATGCACTATAGTTATACCCTCAATCTTTCAGACTACACAGTTAAAGATGCCTGTTTCAGGCTAGAGGTAGGTATAATGGACTGAATAAAGGTAATTTGTACTCTCACCAACCACATTTCTCAAGAGGTAGATTTCCTTAAAACACAAAGTCAGGATTTTATGGCATAATGGAAATTCCAGAATTAACCAGCTTTGTGGCCTTGGCAAGTACGAACATTTTGTTTAGGAATAGCTTACTCATACAAACAATATGAAAGACCATCTTCTATGTTTAAATTGTAGAGAATTCATATAAAGACATTAAAGAACTTGGATAATGACTAAACATTTTGATTAAAAATCTTTAAACCTCAACTTTGAAGTAATAACGCTCTGAACAAATATGGAATGGAACTATAAGTGCAATCTGCATTAGCTTCTGTATATCTGCATTATATATGGAAATCCTCTAGTACTTAGCTTTAGTATTATGAGAACATCGTAGTCTGCAGTATACTAATGCAGAAAATTCATGTCAACAGAACTGCAGATGTCTTTTAGGTTTCAAGACATAATATATAACTAATGTAAAAGCTGGCTAGTATTGCAGCCACAGCTGTAGCTGAATAAATAATCTTTCAGGCAAAGTATTTAGGTATGTAGCAACCACATGTTTTAAAAGAAGCTTTCATTATCTTATTCAGAATTTAAGGAAGGGGGCTCACACATAGTTCCTCTAATAATAAGTATAACTGCTAAATGGGTTTGCTTACAACTACTTTTCGAGAACCAAATATTATATGTCTTAATATCCAACAGAATTAAACTTACACCTTGAACGTTGTTGTAAACATTGGGATGACTGGTATATATAAACCTTTTCCTTTACTGACAAAGGAATGATTCTGGATCTCTCTCAGTGGAGAGGTTAATTGCATTTTCTGGCCACAGTCCAAGGACTGGTTCATTGGCAGCATTTTAATCTATTTGTTAAAACGTTTTCTGCCTAGAAGAATATCAACAGCCAAAATTTTAGGAAACTGACATTTTCAAACTTATTGAACTGTTTGAATTCCCTGTTAGCTAAGTCTCCATGTCCTTTTCAGAAAATTCTTGCTTAAGGCCCTGATCCTGAAAGATGCTGAACATTTTGAGAGAAACTAAACCTCTTCACACACACCGAGTATTCAGATCCTTGCAAGATTAAGATCTTAAGATCTAAGAATTAGCTTAGGTATTAAAGAAAAGCAAGCTATTTGAACACCAGGTTCTTTAAGTAGCTAGAATATATCTAGGGGCCTGAGCAACAACCCATAAAAGTCAAGGAGTCTTCTGTTGATTTCAGTGAACTGTGGATTGGATCCTATATGCTTCTGTGACACTTCAAAATGGATTTTTGGCTTCAAAAGATGTCAATTTATGGAGAGTAGGATTGAATCTCATCATAGTAGATGTTATCTGAGACATCATTCTATAAAAAAGGATTTGCCACCTTCAGCATGGATAGAAATGGATATATCCCATCCAGACTCTGGAATGCAGAGAGGTGCTGTGTTTCCTAAACTGGCATACCAGAAAAAAACCCCACAGTATCCCTAAAAATGTGCAAAAACCAAAAACTTTGGTTGAAATGGGGAAGAACCATGAGCTAGTGCAAGGGTGGAGAACCTTTTTTGCATCGGGGCCCCAACCAACAGAAAAATCATTTGGGCCCAGGCTAGTAGATTTTGTGTGCTCCAGCCCGATGGGGAGACTGGTGGGGGGGAGGGGGAAGGTTAGAGTGCCAGCGCAGGTTCCCCAACATGGAGGGGGAGCCTTGAGCCTCAGGGGCTGGATCCAGACAAGCCTTAAATTCCCCATCTTTGAGCTAGTGGGACACAGTGACCAGATTATGATAATAGTCTGACTTTCTATTTTGCCTCTCACCTGTGTTCACTTTTTGCTTTTTAAAATAAATGAATAAAACATACAAGGAGATATAACAGAGATTCAGAATTTTCTCTATTGCAAGATGCTGCTTCCTTGGTTATTATGAAGATTCCCTTAATTTTTTTTAACTTTGATAACAAGCTTCACCTTGAGTTTCTTTGAAGCTGATAATTTCAAGGGAAACATCTTGTCTTCCACTGGATATAACAGAAATTATTTCTACATCAAAGTGCTTTTTTTTTTGCTTCTATAAATATAGATAAAAGAAAGGCCTGCCCAGTTGTCAGTGTTCCATTAAATTAATGATCTAAATCTCAGTGATATAACAGACTGATTAGACTAATAGTCTACTTCATATATCCTATTATTATGGAACTTATTTTATCTTGGTATTGCATAAATACATTGTTTCATCTATTTGCATATAAAAACTTGAGCCTTGTTATCTTTGCTCCTGAGACAAGGTTGATGATAACACAAACCTTGAACTGGTTTAATAATTTTGTAGATTTACTTCAAAGATTGCATAAGATGAAGTACAGCAGTAGAGTAGAAAATAACCATTTCTGTTCCTAAAATGGATCATTACACCAGTTAACAATCTATATCTTCACTGCAACTTACCTATAAGTACTTAAAATAAGAAGAGAGTATAGGCACGAAAATAATTTTGAATTGATTATTTGCACATACAACTACCACAATTGCACATGCACTTGTATTATCCTAAGATGCAAGTGAACAGTTTCTGAAAAAGCGGATGCGTTCTTTCGGCATCCCTGTATTCCGCATTGTATGAGAAATAAGGGATGTTTCGAGAGAGGATGTTTTTCCGAAATTTGGCCCTGTATAAATGGGCGAAATTTTGGAAAAGCCTCTTCCCCCCAAAAAAAAAAAAAATTGGAAAAAGATACGCAAATTCTGAATCGCAATTTGCGTATCTTTTTCCAATATAACTCTGAAGTCCAGACATAGCCTTAGATGTGTTTATTTGAGTCAATGCATATGCTATTTAAGCACACAATCAACTTTTTTACCCATGCAATTACATAATTTACTTAAAATTCAGCCATAAATCTCATTCTGTTATCTAAAGTTCCTCCCAAAGTATTTGCTTTCAAATATACAGTTTTGAGGCAATATGAAAAACAGGGATGTTTTTACATCATCGGTTGGTTGATTTTTTTTAAGCCATGGGGAAAAATACTAAACAATTAAAAGAAAAACATTCTTACCTTATAGGAAAGGTACAGCAATGTGATTATTGGAACCAAATACCTAATGATAAATAGCTAAGACAAAAACCCAAAATAAAAATTGATTAGTTTCTATGGCACACTTTAAAGTATTTAGATATAGATGAACACTTATTTTTCCTTTGATATATTGGCCATGCAATGGAATCTGCATAACCATACGCATCTGCCTATACAGCTCACATTTCAAGATCAGGGCCTATTTGTTCTGAGTTAAATTATTCTGTATAGAATTTGCATTACAAGGCACCACATACTTTATATTTATGCACTTTAATCTCTCTCTCTATATATAAAAAATGTTTCCTGTTGGACAACAAAGCGATGTCACCATGTCACAGAGTCCACAGGCTAGGGGGGGAGGCATGGGCTGGTAAAGCCCCACTTCCAGTGCTGCCCCTTCCACCTCAGGCTCTGTTCCTGGAGCTAAGCCCCACCCACTGCCAGCCCAGCCCTCTCTGGTGGCCACATGGAGAGCTGGGCCTGGTGCACTGTGGCCCAGCCTTCATCAGCTGTCAAGAGCAAACGTGGGCCTTGTGCACTGCAGCCCAGCTTTCCCCAGTCACCAGGAGCAAAGCCCACCTGGCTTGGCGTGGCCTGGCCTTCCCTGGCTGCCAGGGGCAGAGCTGGGCCCAGAGCACCTTGGCACAGCCTTCTTCGGCTACTGGGGGCAGAGCTGGGCCTGGTGCAGCCTCGGTTGGTTGAAGGGGGGTTAGAGTTAGGTTGCAGGTGGAGAAAGGAGAAAGGGCCTGGGCAGGTGCGAATTGGGGGAGAGGAGAAAGTGCCTGGGCTGATGTGGCTGGAGGCGGGTGGGGGAAGCTGGGGGTAGATGAGAAAGGGCCTGGGCTGGTACAGCCAGGGATGGGGGCAAGGGAGGAAAAAGGGCCTGGGCTGCGTGGCAGGGGGCGGCTGGCACAGCCGGGGGGCCGTGCGGGAGAAAGGGGCCAGACTGGTGCAGCTAGGGCGGGGGGAAGAAGGGGCCCAGTCTGGTGCAGTTGAAGCCCAGCCGTCCCCGGTTGCTTAACCCTGTGAGAGGGTGGTTGGCAAGTGTAGTGAGTGGGGGACGCAGTCCCCTAGTCTTCCATTAAGGGCAAAAAATCATCCATAGAGGATAATAAACAAATTGTAAGTCTTTGTTCAAATTGCTGATTAATTCTAAAAAGTTCTGATTTTTATTTAGTCGAGGTGTTACTAGTCTTCACAACTTCTTCTATATTGCCACCTAGTGCATTCAAATGGCACTGCTTAAAATATGAAACCCCAGGAAAATATTTCAGGACTCAAATGACATGAACACTAAGACACACTATAGAGCTTCCAGCATGTGGAATGATGTCCTTGGACAAAAGGTTTCAGGGACAAACACAGAAGTACAAAGAATTGAAACACAAGACAACTGCTGCTGAACAAGTTGTGGAAGTGGTGGATCATTTCAGCTCTCTTGGCAGCAAAACTGTTATAAAATCTGCGTAGCCAGCCATCTTAAGGAGAAGTAGTAGCATTAGTCAAAAAGAATATACACAGAATCTGGAGGCTAAATAAGGTGATATTATATACAAAAGTATGGATCTATCAAACCTGTGCACTCCTTATCCTCTTGTAGAGTGTGCATCTACACTACACTGTTATTTTGAGATAACTAGCATTATTTCGAAATAACAATGTGTGCATCTACAGAGTCATTCTGTTATTTTGAAATCATTTCAAAATAACGGACGGCTTATTCCGAATCTGTAAACTTCATTCTACGAGGAATAATGACTATTCCAAAATACCTATTTCAAAATAAGGTGTGTGTAGACGCTCCACTGCTGCTATTTCAAAATAGTCCCTCATCATGGCCATTCTAAGTTATTCCCTCCCAGTGCCTCTTGGGGTTCTAAATTGAGATAGCACATCTACATTAGGGAAGCCTACCTCGGATTAATTTTGAGGCTTCCCTGCAGTGTAGACGTGCTATTTTGAAATAAGCTATATCAGAATAACTATTCTCGAATAGCTTATTTAGAAATAGCTGTGCGTGCAGACATACCCTAAGGTGCCCCAGGACGTTTTGAAAGTTGCAGACTAGCATGGCTACCCCTCTGAGACTTATATACTCAGAGAGACGTAAAAAAATTTGATTCACTTCATATCTACCTTTAAAAAGCTGAAGCTTTATTTGTCTGATTGTGGGAAAATACAGAATTTCAAATATTATGATAAGAAATATAGCTCTAACCCGCTGTGGTGTGTAGAGACGAACAGATTTCAGAACAAATCCCCAAACTTCAGTACTGCATAAACCAAAAGAAGCAAATACACACATATGGGATGTCCAAAGGTACTTCATTCTGTAAGATAAGCAAGTTTTAATTAATCATATAGAGCTATGGGGAATGATGTCACTAAGTGGGCTTGAAAATTTTTTTTATAGGTAAACATTGGTGAAAGTACATTCTATCACAGTCATAAACCAATTGAATATTTTAATCTATAATACATTTACATATAAGTGAAGTAAGAAAAATTATTTTCAAACTTTTTAGAGTTTAATATTTACTTTGTATACAGGCAGTCCCCGGGTTACGTACAAGATAGGGACTATAGGTCTGCTCGGGGTGTCCCTGGTCTGCTGGGCGGGGAGGGGCCCGCCGGGGGGAGGGGAGACCCGGAGCAAAGCCGCAGAGGCGGCGGGGTCCCGCGCTTCCAAGGCTTTGCTCCAGGTGTCCCTGGTCTGCTGGGGACCCCTCCCAGCAGACCAGGGACACCCGGAGCAAAGCCTTGGAGCTTTTCTCCGGAGCAAAGCTGGACCCCCCCAGCAGACCGGGGACACCCGGAGCAGCTTTTCTCGCCCCGGAGGACGCGGTGGCGGGACCACTGCGCGTCTGGGTGGTCCCGCCGCCCGCGAGTTCTGGGGCGAGAAGAGCCCCGTTTGTAAGTGCGGATCCGACATAAGTCGGATCCGCGTAACTCGGGGACTGCCTGTATTTTGAATGAGAAAAGCAGAGGGATGCATGAAGTTATGATTAGTATGCTAGATATTCAAGATTCAAAAGCTTGCAGAAACAATAATGATTTTTAAAAAAATACCTCATTGTGCTTAAAGCTAGGCATCCAAACAGAATTGTGTGCATTAAGTTATAGGCAGCTCCAGGCTTCAGTATCATTGTGCAGATTTCCATTTTATCAATGGAGTGGACATTAGCTGAACCACTAAATAAACAAGCAAATGAAAAATCAGTGCTGTGCTAAGCTTAACAATACATTATTTTACAACTGCACATCTGCACACAGTTTAAAATTATTTTAACCTCTTGATGTCATAAAGACTAAAGCTCATTATGTTAGTACTAATTAAATTTTCATTCTTAAAACCATATTCAAATATTTCACTTGAAGATGACGATGACAACTGCAGTAATTGCACTACAATGTCAGGTGTTCTGTTTTCATCTCTGGGTACTGGTTATGAGTTCAAACGAACATTAAAATAAAAATGCTAGTGAACTTATTCACAATACACTATCATGTGAATCATGAAAATATAAAAGCAAATTCATATGAAAAAATTGATTACTAATATAAAATTTACCATTTAGTTGAGTTGTTTTGGTGGGAGACAAAATTTATATTCCAGAACCTCAAGCTGCACCCAAGTATGCCAGTATTACAGAGGAGTTGACTGCAGCTCCTTCATTCTGGGCCAGTTCTACACTGAGTCTGCATTATATTAAAATAACAGTGGGGCTGGTCACAAATTGAAACGTGCTGGAATGCAGCAGACATGTCCCTTCTATCCCTGTGCTAGTAACGGGGTGAATTAACATAGCCTAGGCTTTGACAAATGGGAATTTCTCCATGCTGGCACAATCCTCAAGTGGAGGCATTCTGGTAATTCTCCAGCTGCTTTGCAGAGAGGGACTGGAATGAATAAGAGACACTTATCTTTTGTAATAGGTAATAAATGACTTTTGTGATAGTAAAATAGTTTGAGGTTCCACAAAGCCTGATTACAGAAAAATCTTATCATACATTTTACATTCTGAACTTTGGATAGGAAGTAATTTACTTTGTCTTGGGTTGTAAAAAATACCTCTTCAGTGTCTGTCTACTACTTGTACAGGAAAACGTACTGTACACTGCTGTGTTCACCCATGTTATTTAGCTTACTGAATTAAAATTCATGAAAATATAGTTTTGAAACATACGGTACCTGAGATTCTGAAAAGCAACAACAGAAGCTGCTATTGCCATAAGTAGGAGAACAAATAAGTAGGCATAAAAAAGTAATGTATCTGAGAGTCTTGCAAAAGTATTAAATGGCAGCAGACCGAATGCTTCTTCACAGAGGTATAAGTTAGCATCAAAATCTCTAAAGAGAGAGGAATAAAAGCAGTCACATGATAGATTTTATAACTGGTTGCCATCTGGAAGAGTAATAGTTTCCTCACTGTACTGATGAAATCATGAAACTATGCAGATAGGTGAAGAATTCTATCTCTTGGTCATATTTCACATTTATTATTTGCAACAAAGACGTGAAATAAATGTTAACTTGTAGGTCTAATTTTGACAATGAGTTGATATAATGCAATAAAACTGATTTTTTTCAAATTAACTGATATCCTACCTTGTTGCTCCAAATCCAAATTTTGCTTTCAGGAATTTAAATATATGTTCATCTGACTCAAGATTAAGCATCTTCTATTGGGGAAGAAAATAAAATTACATTTTTCTGCTAGAAATTAGAATAAAGCTTTTATTAAAGATTTTATATATAAAAATTGACGTGTGAAATAATTCACAATTGTTCAGCTGTAGTTCTACTGTAAACTTTTCAAAAATGGTATTGTGATATTTAACGTTTGTCTTTTGATACTTTTTGTATTGTGTTCAGTTTCCCAGTTATTCTTCTAACTCTGATTCTTAAAACCTCAGTTTGTGGTCCGAGTCAACTTGGATTCTTTTTTGTTTTTAAGCATCTTCACTAATAACAAAATACATGCTATGCAATCAAGTAGGTTTATGTAACATCACTGACTTTTCTTATACCCTACCATAAGTGTCCTTTGAAATTCTAGTGCTTCAAACCCATTGCTTGCACAGTAGATCAAAACCTACCAAACTGTTGATACATAAGGACTAGAATCCAGGTCATACTTCCATAGCTGCACAGTACTAACAGGAGAATGTAACAATAAGGATGTCTTTTTCCTAGTTTTAAAATGTATAGATTTGTCTCTGTATACACAAAGAGCAGAAATGAGTAAGAATCTGTCTTTTTATATAGTAATTTTTTGGAGTAGAACTGGACTTTTAAAATCTATTTGAGTCTAACAGAAATGGATGAAAAGATCTGCAAGTTACACAAGAGCATCTATGGACCATTTAGGTAAACAAAGTGTTGTGGGCCTGCTAGCAGCTTTCCCAAAGCAGGCCCATGGCCCACTTTGAGAAACACTGCTGTAAAGCAATATTCTTCCCATGGAAGTAATAGTAAAGTTATGCAAGTAAATATATGTGTAAGTGACTGCAGGAACGGGGTCAACTTGTGATCAGAGGGTTCCAGAAAAAGAGATTAAAAATATTCTTGGACAAAAAAAAATCAGAACCTCAATCTCTTCAGCTCCTAAAATGTACTGTTAGTTTAAATGCAGCAAAATCATATCACTTACACAGTGTGAGCAATTTTCTGTAGTATATTTATCAAATTCCTAACTTTACGTATATAGAAAACTTAGTATTTACATACCTTAATGAAGTTATTAACTAGAAAAGTCAAACATAACACCATGAGTACATGGAAGAAAAGTTTCCCAAGTCTATTAAGTAAGCATCCTATTTTCATGTTTTTCTATAAATTAAACAGATTAGTAGTTTAGTCTTTTAAAACAAAAAAGATTTTGTATTTTTATATATCTGGAACAAGAGATAAAATAAGCCACTTGAAATACAGTAATTCCTCACTTAACATGTGCCTGGCTACCATGTTTTTGTGATAGCACGATTTTTTTTTAGGGAATATTTTTTGAATTACACAACCGTCCCCAGAATAACACGATTTCCCCAGCCAGCCCAGTGCTGGTGCCTGCGTGGGGCTTCCCTTGCAAAGCAGCAGAGGGTTCGCCGCTCGCCGTGCCGTTCCCCAGCGACCCCCACCCTCACCGGACGCAGTGCGGGTTCCGGCAGACCTGTCACAGGGGCATACTCCTAACCCAATCGCCCTTCCTTTCCCTTCCCCAGATCCAAACACTTCCCCTCCCTACTGTAACCCAGTCCCCTTTCTCCCCCAACCTTATGTCCTAGTCCCAACAGACACCACCACTTGAAACACAACCCCCACCTTTTCCATTATTTTCAATGGGAAAATTGACCCCACATAACACGTTTTCACTTAATACGATCATTTTCTGAAACACATCTATAGTGTTAAATGAGGAATTACTGTAACTGGTTTATTTAAATGTGAACAAAAACTATGATGGCAATAGCTTAATGCAAGTGAGCAATTAACTGCAACCACATGTCTAAAATTGTATAGACTTCTACACAGGAGTAGGACCATAGGTACACTCATTGTAGCAAAAAGCTACTTTAACCTCAATGACTTGGCTGAGTTCTGTGGATAGCCAAGTAGATTTTCTGGATCCTCTCTGAGGAGGCCTCTTTGTGCTCATCTGTTTTCCCAAACTCAGCATTTCCTCAGAGATGTAGATTGAGTCTGACCTCAAGCACCATGTGTATCCTTCAGTTTGCTGGGGAAATCAGTACTTTTTTAGTATGCCAATGAAGCAATGGAAGTGCTCTTAATTCAGCATGAGTATCAGATAGACTACATGGCCTTCTGGGTAATCTCCCAATTTAAAGTTCCAGATTTACAATGCCCCTCATTCAATTCACAGGCAGTATGGGATGGGAGCAGATATTGTTTGGGTCTCATAATACCACACAGAATGATGAGTCAAGAACAGTGATTCTCTAATTGGACAACTGGTTTGACTTCAGCCTCCTTCTACAAAGTATTCTGACAGCATGGAGTTAAGGATCCAGTCTGAGTCCTACTGAAATCAATGAGACTCTCTGTCCAATAAAAGCCTTGCAAGATGAGGGTCTCTGCTTGAACATCTGTATATATTAATATCAAGTACAGAACAGTGACACTACTGATACATCTAAAAATATTACAGTTTGGGAGGTGTCAGTTAATTACCAGTGAGTAAGGGTAATCACTGAGTCTTTACTCTGTCCTATAACCATCTGTAATAGTCTGTTGAAAATGACCACCCTGCACCTTAAAGCAGGAGAGGCATTTGGCTGGCTGGTCAAATGAAGGCAACTGTGCTTTATGGCTAGGAAGTGGGAGGATGAAAACTGCTGCAAGAGGGTAAGCATAGTTGCTGGCTCATCCCCTAGCAATGCTAGCTGTAAAAGAGGCAGCATAAGCATCCTGCATCATCAAATTATTAATGGAGGATGAGGGTTCCCCTGTAAAGCTTTGGAGTCCATTTGTTTTTACTGATATAAAAGGGGAGCAATAAGAGATATGTGGAAACCCGACTGTGTTTGCGGGCAGGAGGCAGCCAAGCTAATTGCTATGCCCCTTTATGGTGAATGTACAGTGCAGATATTCTATAGCAGGTGTGGGCAATCATTTTAGACGAGAGGGCCACTGCAGAAATTTTTGAATTGGTCCTGGGCTACCCTGGAAAGGGCAGGGCCTTGGGTAGAAAGGGCAGGGCCAGGACACTTCCATGCTTTCCCACCCACAAGACCCTGATTGAGAGAGCTGTGAAGTTTTTCCTCCTGTCTCCACCCAGACAGAACCGCCAGCTATTCCCTGTAGATGCCCGAGCCCCAATCAAGACCTGGGTGGGGGAAGCATGGGAAGTCTCTCACTCTCTACCCCCACCCTGGAAAGAGGTGCCGTGCTTAACAACTGGTGGTTGATTCTAAGCACTGTGTGCCCCTTTCAGGGTGGGAGGGGAGTCTGCGTGCTCCCCTTTACCCCAGGTTAATCAGGGCCTCGGGGCAGGGAGGGGGGCACGTAAAATTCTCTTCCCTCCTTGTCCCCATCCTGCAAGGGGTGCACGGTGCTTAGAGCCAAACTCCCGCATGCCCCTTCCCCTGACTGGCCTGGAGGCAAGGAGAGAGCGCAAAGTCTCTGGTGCATGGTGCTTAGAGTTAACCCTGGTGGCTGACTCTAAGGGTACATCTAGACTACAAGCCTCTTTCAAAAGAGATCGTCTAGACTGTCACAAGACTTTCGAAAAAGTGATCCACCCAGCACCCAGCCAATCTGGACACTCTCTTTCGAAAAAGCCGTGTTTGCGTTCCAGAATGCCTTTTTTTGAAAGTTCACCGCTGTCAAAGTTCTTTCGATTTAATTTTGAAAGAACGCGACGGCAGTCTAGACGCAGGTGAAGTTTTTTCAAAAAAAGGCTACTTTTTTTGAAAAAATCTTGTAGTCTAGACATAGCCAAAGTGCCTTGCGCCCCGGGTTGGGGAGGAGACTTTGTGGACTCCCCCATCCGCAGGCCCTTTTGCCCATCCCTGCTCTATAGGAAAGGTATGACTTAAAGGAAAGAAGGGGGTAATGGGGGACTACTATGATTGGTACGTCACAGAGACAACCTCCCATTCTTATAGACCACCTTCACCCTCCTATGATGGCAGATGGATGGTAAGGTACTAGGAATGGATTTTCTGAAGGGACCTGTATGAAAAAAGGAGGAACTGGTGGTATTTCCAGAATAAACAGGGGTAGTCTGCTGGGTAGTTTCAGACATCTAATAATAAAATTGTGGCCTGATTGAACCCCTGTCAAAGGTCTCTTGTCCTTCTTTTGGTATGGCCAGACATAAAGTGCTGAGGAAGGAGAAAGATTTCTCTAAAAAATGAACTACTTTTAAATTGGTCATACTGCTAGCTTACTATTTTTTAAAAAAGGTTTTGAGCACATACCTGAAATGTTCTTGCTAGTAAGACAGATACATTAAAACTTATAAGTAGAGATCCAAGAATCATGGAATTAAAGAACTGTAGAACACAGACCAGTAGTATGCCTGTTAATTGTATAATGTAGACCCATGTAACCTGCAACGAAGAGATCACAGAACATAAGAACGGCCATACTGGGTCAGATCAAAGGTCCATCTAGCCCAGTATCCTGTCTGCCAACAGCGACCAATGCCATATGCCCCAGAGGGAGCGATCACAACAGGCAATCATCATGTGATCCCTCTCCTGTCATCCATTTCCAGACAAACAGATGCTAAGGACACCATTCCTACCCACTGTGGTTAATAGTCATTGATGGACTTAACCTCCATGAATTTATCTAGTTCTTTTTTGAACCCTGTTAAAGGCCACTCTGGCAAGGAGTGTCAGCTGAAGTTTGTTTTTGAAGTTTGAGGAGTAGGCCACATTCACCCTGCCTGAATTGACCTCCTTAGCACTGGTCCTTTGTATAGTAATGTAACACATCCATCTTTGCATGTGTATATATCTGCCAAACTGAAGTTTCCACCTAATGAATCTAACAAGTGGTTTCCAGCCCAGGAAAGCTTATGTCTAAATAATTTTGTTATTCTTTAAGGTGCCACAGGATTACTCATTGTTCTTACTGAAACAGACTAACATAGCTACCTCTTTGAAACTGATCGTGGTTATTTAACAGCACATCACAAAAGTGAACTGCATATTATGTGCTAATTTCAAATGTAGAACATTGTGCAAAAGAACATCTCAAAACAATATCACTATTAAACTCAGAAAGAAAAAGTCTGGTCACGACCAGAAATATGATTACCTTTGTCGTGGGAAGCATGTCAAAACAGTCCAATATGAATAATACCAATGCTTGCATCAGCATCATAAACTGATTGAATTGCCAAGTCAGGCTAAAGAGAAAGGTTGATATAAACACTGCCAGAAGTGTTAGTTTCTGAAAAGAGAAAGTTGTTATGTAACTTACATATCTCCATCAAGAAATGCAGCGTTTCCCAAACTATGGGCCATGGCCTGATACCGGGCCGCAGGAAAAAAATACCGGGCCCCAGTGTGCCTGGTGGCTGCCGGCAGGGCTGGCCTTAGGCCGATTCGGTTGAATTAGGCCCCGCGTCCCTGAACCTGGAAGTGCCGGCGAGTTACAGAGTCGGGGGCCCAGCTCCACCAATATGTGGAGCTGGGTCTCTCCCCTGGCTCTGCCTGGAGCGGACCCTGGCCCATCCCTGCCGTGCACAGCTCCTCTTTGCCGGCTGCTTCTGCCAATGTGCGGCGTTGCACGTGGGCAGGGAGGACGCCCGGGCATGACGTGATGTCACGGCCCAGGATTCTAAAACTCCTCGGAGGCACATTGAGGGGCTGCCCCCGGATTCTGGCTCTGGGGCCTGAGTGGGGACTCTGGCCCTGCAACGTGGAAGGCAGAAGGCAGGGAACGGGTTTGTGTGGCAGCGGCAGCGGCGGGGGGAGGAGGAGAGGAGAGGAGAGGAGGTGGCGGCGGCGGGGGGGAAGGGAAGAGACTTGGG